CACTACACTGCAAGATGTGATCTTCCCTGTGCACTCCTCCATCTGGAAATATCTCTAGGAAAATTAAATTACAGGCGCGGAAGGAACTTTAAATTCAATGAACCCTAAGACATAATGCATCCAGGTTTAAAATGTCTATCTATAGGAAAGGAGTGAGGTTATTCATGTTAAAGAGAGAGGCTTAAGACAGAACAGAGGACAGGATATTTGGTACCGTGAAACCTTGAAATAGTTCGCTTCGACACCTTAAACCCACCTTGTTTGGATTATTTCGAACGACCTCATTCACGGTGGGAAAAGCAAGGGATCAGCGTAGAGTCTTCGCAAACTGGTGAAGCGTGTCAGCAGTTTCACAGCATTTTTAATCAATCTAGGTGGGATCCACTCCATCGACTGACCCTCGTAGTCGGTCGCCTCGCTGTCTTAGTGGCCCGTCGGTAGAAAGTAGGAGATCCGATCTTCTGAGTTGTGCTCATTTTGTGCTTACTGGTCGACTAGTATTTCGGTTGGAGTACCGTCGTCATTTTCGGTAGATCACTGGGAATCAAACCAATCACAGATTGCGTGCTTGAGCATTTCAAGGCAAGAGATTCACCAGTTCCCGTCACTGTCACCTTTAAGAATGATAAAGTGTCTCCCAATAGAAATGTTGTTCCAAACAATGCCCTGGATAGTGCTCATTCATCATAGCAGGGGTATTGTGTCATCAGGTTCCTGGAGAATCATGGAGGCTGAATTCGACAGAGGCGTCAACTTCTTCCACGAAGATACTGGCGATCAAAGTGAAAAGTGGTGATCCCATGCGCACCGCTTCCTGTCCTTCACGAACAGTACCTTAGAATGGTAGAGGGGCGCTCATCGATCGCACTACGGAACTCACTTGTCCCGCTGTCCCTTGGGACTCTTTTTCGAGCCCCACCAGCAGCCGCACAGCGGCGCGTGGTATGGGCGGGGCTCGAGAAAGAGACCCAAGGCACAACGGGACGAGTGAGTTCCATAGTACGATCTCTCAGCGCTCCTCCCCCTACCATTGTATATTCCTGATCGCAGCTGACACGCCAAAGAGCCCGTGGCTCAGTGGTTAGAGGCGTTGGACTTCTAACCAACAGGTCGCAGGATGGAGCCCCAGGTGTTGTTCACCGCGGGGTTGGGTACGACTGGCTGACGACGGCTAATAGGCCAGAAATGACTATTCCAGTCTCCCTCGTGTTTGCCGGCAATCCATATCTGAATGAGATTTAGGGGCGAAAAAATTATCTGCGTAAGGCTGGCTGACGACGGCCAATAAGTCAAGGAGTAGTCAAGAAAAGCAGCTTGTGCACACGGCAAGCCTTGTCTTGTTCTCTTAAGGTAGAGTGGACCACAAGAACAACAGCATCCAAGGTACTGCGACTGACCGTATATGCAAATTGTAAAGGGATTGGAAAAAACTGGAAGATAATGACTTTATAAGATCTAGAGCAACTCATCCAGCAATCTCTAGTAGTTCGGAAGAGCAGGCAATTGGATGAAGAGATTCAGGATCAAAATTTGTGGATTTTTTAAGGAATAGGAGTGCTTTATACTGTACGCTAGGCATCAGGAATCTTGCATTCCATGAAGGATATGTTACTGAGGTGTGCCAAAGCAGGGGCCATCAGAGAACAGCAAGATTTAGGGAGAAAGAGTGAGACACCATCCGGCTCGGCAGCTGTTGATCCACGGACCTTTTCAAGGTGTTCCTCTACTGTCGCATAGTATATGAACACACTCATGCCGATTTTAGTTGGGACATCAACCACTGGGGGGCGTTATATAAAGAGAAAATCGCCAAAAACGAGACTCGAGTTCGGACGCTCTCGCAGGCGATAAAACGCTCAGACACAGATCCTTCTTCCGTCGGATCCTATTTCGTAGCCGTACCTGCATTAGACAAGCCTCAGCCGCCTGCCATAGTGAACCAGTGGTAATAGGGGGTTTAACCCTAACCCCTCACCCTAACTCCAACCCCCAACCCTAAGCCTTTATCCCTATGCCTAACCCTGACCCTTAAGCCTAGCCCCTAACAGGTACGGCTACGAAATAAGATCATGTCCTTTCATCTTTTCGTCAGACTCACATTAAAGCAAGTGGACATTGGGAACTGAAGAATAACCCAATTTTTAGCCTGGCGTGTTTCTACTCTTGAAGCCGCCCAAACACACAAAAACGGGGCGCCGCAAACTTCGCTA